CCCCCCTCACCAGCCTCGCTGCAAGCTGGCGCGGCCTTGGGTCCCTGCGGGTCAAGGGTGCCTCTGAGCCCTGGGCCTGGGCAGAGCCCACCCCCCACCCCCATCCCCGCACCTTCAGGGACCCTGTTCCTGCATTCCTTATTCATTCATTCATTCCCTCCATTGATTCATTCATTTTTCAGTATTTGCCCCGTGCCCTGAGCCAGCGCTGAGCGGGGCGTGTGGACCAAGGACAAACAGGGAGCCTGGCAGCTGCTCGGGGCCTGATCCTGAGTCGGGAGCGGGCTGGGAGAGTGCCCCAAGCGGGCGCAGTTAGGCTGGGATCCAGGGAAGAGGAGACGCCAGACAGCCTGCAGGGGACACCGAGGTCGTGGCTTCGGCAAGGCCTGCAGGAGGGAGGGGACAGTGTGGCCACTGTCTGGGCAGGGTCCCCTTGTCAGAAAAGTAAACGACAAATGAAGCCACTTTAAAACGGAGCTTCAGCTTTGCCGGCGGATGAAGGTTGGGACGCAAGCTCAGACCACAGCCCATGGGCGTGACTTCTGACACACAGTGTGTCTGCGTGTCCTTAGACAAAATTGAAAATCCAAAGCATGATGAAATAAATGCGCATTTATGTACATACCCATTATACATGATAAAATAAGGTCCCCCGGGTACCATTTGGAAACCCAAACTCCATATTCCCTCAGGGTCTAGAGCCGTGAACCATCACGAAGGGAGAGGGCTCAGTGTGACATCCTCCAGCTGTCAGCTCTCACAGACGGCTCTCCATGACTTTGTTTATTCAGACACTCGGCACATGTGCACAGCAGTTATAAAATATTTAATCCTGCCAAGGAAGTATCTGCAAACATTATTTGCTAAGAGATTTTCCGAATCCTAAAGCATTAAATATTAAAACTCATTTTTCTAGTTACACAGCAGCCTTAAGCATTAAGAGTGGAACAGAGTTATTTTTTACTGGTTGGTACTTCAACTGGTGAAGACAGCTCAGGCCAACCCAGGCTGCTCTGGTGCTATTTTCACTGGAGCATCAAGTGTGGAAGTTGGGGGGTGCCATGCGTGTCCCCCTGCCCCCCAGTGCTCCACCTTGTCTGTGCTCTGTGTGCAGAGAAGCCTGGAGAAATATATCCGACGTCACCAAGTGGCCAGGCACCTGCACCCAGGGACACGCTGATCTCACAGGAACATGGCAGCCTCGGGGCCCTCAGCGTGGGCGGCCTTCACCCCGACTGCTCGTGGGGCCTCCCTGGTTGGCTTCCCGCTGGCACCTGTGCCCCGTAGCAGGAAGTCCCCAGCGCACGCTGCCTGTTCCTCAGAGCGGCGTCTCAGGCCACTATCTTTCCACACAGACTGTGTTCCAGGCCTACGTTCCCAGGGGAGGCCCCGAGAACCACTGTCTCAGTCAGCAGGGCCGCTGAGTCACAGGGCCCCAGGACTGCTGCTTGCCCAGCAGGGGCTATCTGGGCTCTGGAGGCAGAAGTCTGAGACCAAGCTATCTGTCCAGCTGGTACCTGCCGAGGACTGGGAGGGAGGATCTGTTCCCACCAACACTTCACTCAGAACTTGCGCCTCAACATTGACACAGACAGTCGGTCTGTAATTGCTTTTCAGACAAAAAATTTGTACACTTGTCCTTTTTTCTATGCTCTAGAACCGGTATCATAATGTCATAGTTACGTGTTCCCTAAAGGGTTGCTAGCACTTGTAAAACGACGTTTTCCCTTTTCATCCTGAGTAGGTGTGTGTGTTCGTGACATCTGTATCTGTGTACATGTGCTGGTGTGTATGTATGTGTACTTGCGTGTGTGTATGCACGTGTGTGTGTTCCCTGTGTATGTATGTGTGTCTGTGTTCCTGTGTATGCGTCTATGTTCATGTGTGTGTGTGTTCATGTGTGTTGAGTGTCAGCTCTCTGACAACACTCTTTCATCTGTGGTAATTACCTCCTCTTAAGTCAATGTGGTAATTTACATCTTTCTAGAAAAGCATTCACTTCATCCTGACTTGACAAAGTAGTCTTACGGTTGTTTTTCATTTCCTCTGTTTCTGGGGCTATTATTGCTATTTCCTTATTGTGTGTCTCTGTTTTTCTTGGTTAGCTTAGCTAATGGCTTTTCTATTTTATTGTTTTCCCTTTTTAGGTTACAAAAAAACCTTCAATAGAGTCCCCAAAGTAGAACCAGTACAGACAACAGTGTCCGACCATAAGACAGCAAAATTAAACGTTAAAACACAACTAGAAATGAAATAGCCCTAGTGACAATAAAAATACCTGTCTTAACTCTTAGGTTCAAGAAGAAATGAAAACTTAAACTTATTAAATAGTGTATCTTAAAAATAACCAAGGAAGGGTCACACACATCACCGTCAAGGGCAGTGCTTGAAGGAGAAAGGCGTACCTGTGACCACGAACCAAACGTAAGATCACCATCCAACTCGAGTTTAG